ACGCAGCCCTGGGGGAGGGGGGACCCTCTGTGCCCCCCCCCTCCCCAACCCCCCCGGGCTCATTTGTGTGTCCCCCCCCCGCACCCCAGCTAATAAAGGTCCCTTCACTTGCAGCCACGTCCGTGTTGTTGTTTGGGGGTCAGGGTGGGGGGCGCGGGGGGGGACATGGGGTCAGGGTGTGTGTGGGGGGGAGGGGGGATATGGGTTGGTGGGTGTCACCACATCCCACATGGATGTCACCTCCATGGCCCCCATCCCCAGCTGATGTCACCTCCATGGTCCCATTCCCAGCTCTTGCTCAGTGTCACCTCCATTGTCCCCACCCCCATAAGATGTCACCACTCTGGTCCCCACCCTCAGCCAATGTCACCTCCATGGTCCCCATCCCCAGCTGATGTCACCTCCATGGTCCCCATTCCCAGCTCTCAGTCAGTGTCACCTTCATGGTCCCCACGCCCAGGTGATGCCATCTCCATGTTCCCCATCCCCATGCAGTGTCACCTCCATGGTCCCCATCTCTAGATGATGTCCCCTCCATGGCCCCCATTCCCAACTCTTGGTCAGTGTCACCTTCATTGTCCCCACCCCCAAGTGATGCCATCTCCATGGTCCCCATCTCTGTGCAGTGTCACCTCCATGGTCTTCATCCCCAGCTGATGTCACCACCATGGTCCCCACCCTCACTCAGTATCACCTCCATGGTCCCCATCCCCATGAATGTCACCACTCTGGTCCCCACCCTCAGTCAGTGTCACCTCCATTGTCCCCATCTCTAGATGATGTCACCTCCATGGTCCCATTCCCTGCTCTTGGTCAGTGTCACCTTCAATGTCCCCACCCCCAAGTGACGCCGTCACCATGTTCCCCATCCCCATGCAGTGCCACCTTCATTGTCCTCACCCCCATAAGATGTCACCAGTCTGGTCCCCACCCTCAGTCAATGTCACCTCCATGGTCCCCATCGGTCCCCACCCTCAGTCAATGTCACCTCCATGGTCCCCATCCCCATGAATGTCACCGCTCTGGTCCCCACCCTCAGTCAGTGTCACCTCCATGGTCCCCATCTCCATGTGATGTCAACACTGTGGTCCCAATGTCCACGCAATGTCACCACTGTGGTCCCCATCCCCATGAGATGTCACCATCACTGTCCCCTTCCCCATGAGATGTCACCTCCATGGTCCCCGTCCCCAGATGATGTCACCTCGATGGTTCCATTCCCAGCCCTTGGTCACTGTCACCTGCATTGTCCCCATCTCTAGATGATGCCATCTCCATGGTCCCCATCCCCATGCAGTGTCACCTCCATTGTCCCCATTCCCATGAGATGTCAGCACTGTGGCCCCCAACCTCAGTCAATGTCACCTCCATTGTCCCCATCTTTAGATGATGTCACCTCCATGGTCCCATTCCCAGCCCTTGGTCACTGTCACCTCCATTGTCCCCACGCCCAGGTGATGCCGTCACCATGGTCCCCATCTCCATGCAGTGCCACCTCCATTGTCCCCATCCCCATGAGATGTCACCTCCATGTTCCCCATCCTCAGTCAATGTCACCTCCATGGTCCCCATCCCCAGCTCTCGGTCAATGTCACAACCATTGTCTCCATCCCCATGAGATGTCACTGCTGTGGTCCCCATTTCCAGCTGATGTCACCTCCATGGTCCCCCTCTTCAGCCCTTGCTCAGTGTCACCTCCCTTGTCCCCATCCCCATGAGATGTCACCTCCACTGTCCCCATCCCCATGAGATGTCACCTCCATGGTCTCCATCCCCAGGCGATGTCACCTCCACGGTCCTCACCTTCACTCCTTGGCCAGTGTCACCACCGCAGTCCCCGTCCCCGTGTAATGTCACCTCCACGCTCCCCACCTCCATCAATGTCACCACTGTGGCACTCAGCCCACCCCAATGCAGCTCCAGCTGTGGGGACACAGTGGTGACTCTGGGGGCGGTGGGATGGGGTCAGAGTGGGACCCCCAGAGTGGGAACCCAAGAGTGGGATCTCCAAAAGTGGGACCCCCAGAGTGGGAACCCAAGAGTGGGACCACAAAGTGGGACCCCCAGAGTGGGAACCCCGAAAGTGGGACCCCCAGAGTGGGAACCCAAGAGTGGGACCGCAAAGTGGGAACCCCCAGAGTGGGACCTGAGTGAGGGAGAAATGGGGGTCAGTGTGGGAAACCCCCCAGTGCGGGGAAACTGTGGGCACTGCGGGATCGGTTCCATTCTGGTTCCATTCTGGTTCCATTCTGGTTCCATTCTGGTTCCATTCTGGTTCCATTGCACTGCGGGATCAGTTTTATTCTGGTTCCATTTTGGTTCCATTGCACTGCAGGATCGGTTCTGGTTTGGGTCCAATGCACTGTGGGATCGGTTCTGTCACACTGTGGGATTGGTTCCATTTCGGTTCCATTGCACCGTGGGATCGGTTCCATTCTGGTTCCATTGCACTGTGGGACCGGTCCTGCTGCAGTACAGGATCGATTCCACTTTGGTTCCATTGCACCGTGGGATCAGTTCCATTTTGGGTCCACTGCACTGCAGGATTGGTTCCATTTTGGGTCCATTGCACTGTGGGATTGGTTCCGCTGCAGTGCGGGATCGGTTCTGTTTTGGGTCCACTGCAGTGTGGGATTGGTTCTACCGCAGTATGGGATCGGTTCCATTTTGGGTCCATTGCACTGCAGGATTGGTTCCATTTTGGTTCCTGAGTGTGGGAT